TGAAGTCCTGGACCCCACTCCTGCCCCTGCCTCTTAGGTCTCGTGTGATTACAGATAAGGTGTTTTCCCTTCTTTTGGCTGCAGTTTCCTTACCTGAAAAGCAAAGAGACCATCCTGGCTAATCTCTCAGGTTCCTCTCTGCCCTAAAGTTTTTCTGCTTCCAGGCTTTTGGACTTGAATGGCCTGGGGTCAGCCTGCAGCCCAGAGGTGAAGACAGGGCACAGGCCACCTTTCAGAAGAGAGTGAGCCCACGCGGCAGTGTCAGGGGCTGGGGATTGCCGCAGACCCTCAGGGTGGAGGCACCCAACTGGAACTACTCCAGAAGCCTTCATGAGGCCATAATCTCCCTCAAGTTTCCCCAAAGGTATCTGTATGGCAAATTAAGACCGTCTTGCAGTGTTTTAAAATACCTGGAATTCATTACCAACATTTGTAAACCAAGAGACCTTAGTATTTTTTAATGTTTATTTATTTTTGAAGGCAAGAGACAAGACAGAGTACGAGTGGGGGAAGGAACAGAGAAAGAGGGAGACACAGAATCTGAAACAGTCTCCGGGCTCCAAGCTGTCGGCACAGAGCAATGCGGGGCTCGAATCCACGAACCATGAGATCGTGACCCGAGCTGAAGTCAGATGCTGAACGGACTGAATCACCCAGGCACGCTGATTCAAAAGACTTTATACTAAAATCTGGATTTCTGGGTTTTCCTGAAGAATCTGGAGATGTGGCCAATCCAGGCCCCTGTTCCCAATGGCCACACTGGCCCAGGTTGATGGCTACGGGCCTTTCTGACGGGGCAATGAGGCCCCCCTTGGCCATGGACCCCAGTTCTCACATGCGTGGCCACTCACACACACGGCTCCCCTCCTGGTCCGTCAGGAGCGTCAGTCTGTGAGCCTCACTTAAGGAGCCAAGGGTGCTTTTCTTGAGAACCGACCCAAAGAGAGGGGACAGGCTTCATGCATTCAGGCATTTGGACATGAAAACAAAAGCTCCTTTTCCTCCAGACACAGTCAGGGCACTGGGCTCTGCTGTGCGCTGAAGCTGGGCCCTGTGGCCTGGGCACAGGTAGAAGCCCCGCGCCCTAGAACATAAGCCTGAAGGTGCAACCAAAGGAGGCGCTGTCACCCATGAATCTCTTTCTCTTTCCCCCAGCAGCTGCCGCCCAGATTGCTATCTGCTTTCCGGGGCCCGGAGTGGACCCGAAGACATGTGTCATTTCCCTGGGTAGGGGCCATAATGGCGACATTGTGCTGAGTGGAACAAGAGGAGTTTTCATTCAGCCACCAGCCCTAGGCAGACACTCGGGCCCAGGGCTCTGGGGCTCACTCTGCACAAAGGGGCTCCGGAGAGGGGCCCAGGGCCGAGGAGAAGCCCGTTGGGCAGATGGGGCTGGCCGCCCACAGCAGCCTGCAGTGAGGCTGGGAAGCAGAAACGGATTGCTTGCAGAATACCCCACTGCAATCTCATCTCCCCCTGCAAATACAGGAGCAAACAAACAGCCCCAGAGAGTAAATGGGGGACTCCCCCTGCCCCCCGCCCAGGACATGCGCACTAACAGAAGCCTCGTGGCAATTATTCACTAAGCAATCATTCACTGGCTCACTCCACAGTACTTACGACCACTTACCAGATGCGGGGCGCCGCACGAGGCTGTGGGGATCCAGCAGTGACTAACACACAGCACCCACCCTCACAGTGCTTGCAATTCGGGGGTGCGGGATGGGAAGAGGCAAGGAGAGAAGTAAGGAGATTAGACACTGACAACCAACTGAAGAACTGAGACTCACGCAGCCACAGAGTCCATTCAAGATCCCAAGTCTGAGCCCCCGATGTGTGGATTTTCTTACTCTTCCCAGGGTCTCCTGAGCTGCTTGTCTGCACTGAGAATAGGGGCTCAATAAAGAAGACGCCCCAATCACTATCATGAGGAACTCAGACCCTACACTGAGGGCAGAGGGGAGCCATCACATATTTTTAAGGGGAATCGGAGTGGGATCAGGGAATGTTCACTCTGGGGGCCATGGTGCAAGCAGACCTAGAAGCCAGGTGACAGGGGAGAAGGCTGAGTACATTTCTTTCACTGGGACAAAGAATCCTTAGCCTCCAAAGTTTTCTTTCCCAGGGCTTCCCAGCTCCACCTGATAAGCTGAGAATGAGATCTGGGGAGTATCATTTGTTTTCACAAGACTGGGAGCACGAGGGGGTTGAAAGCTTTCTTCCTGGTATTGTTCACTGGGATCAAATTCGCTATCTTTTCACAGAGCCAGAGCTCGCCACCCAGAACTCTCGAGGCAGCCTCAGACAGTCCCAGGACCGAGCAAGAAAAATCCCGTCAGAGGGCCGCACTCATGCAGAGACATGGGAAGGGAAGGAGGAAACAGGGCATCACAACCGCCATCCCCATCCTTCGCTGGGTGCTTACTGACACCCGCAATCACGCCAAACCAAATGGTTGTGCAGGCGTATCCTGCGGCTTCCCATCTCTGTGGTTCTCTCACTGTTTCCTCTGCCTGTAATGAAATCTCCCCATTGCAGGTTCATCCAGTATTCTCTCTGTGGTCAGCGAGAAATTCTTGCTTTGTCCTGATGAACTCCAGCAGCACTGTATCTCTCCACTGGTCCTATTCACATAAGGACTGGCAACTCGTTTATTTGGTACATAGTCATCTCCTCTACGAGACAGCAGATTGCTTGAAAACGGAGCCCATGTCGACTTAGTATTAGTTCTCCCTACAGGAACTTGCACAGAATGCAACAAATATTCCTAAGGGAACTGATGAAAAGTGGTGTCTTTTTTATGGTGATGATAGACCCCATTAAATGAAAAGGACAGAATATATATATATATATATATATATATATATATAGTTATCCCTTGTCCAAAACTAACTAGCAGGATTTCTCATTCAGTTATCCAGACGGCAACCAAGCTGCAGTCAACTGAGTCAACAGTGCCACCCAGTGGGCATTATGAGTAATTATATAAACCAGAACCCCTACACCTTCGCAAGAGACTTCTTTTGAATTCTTCGTAGAACTCTGCCCAGATGGTGTTCTCCCATTTATACATTCTTCCTGGTCCGCAGCTCAGTTAATCCCACTCCATAAATTATCCCACAGATACATATAAATTCTTCTTAGCCCTTTTAATTTCTCTGCTCCAATTCTCTGATGAACCTCCAAAGTCCTTGAAACTTTCTGAAATTTCTTTTAAAATTCTACCAATGCCTCCATCCATTTTGCAATTGTTATATTTTATATTTTTTTAGTCTTTCAAATGAAATGTTACGTTTTTAAAAGTATTAATGGACTAGCCTGGGAACTTAACTACAATTTACAGCCTTGATTCCAAGTGTTTCCGAGTTCAAACTGTGAACCTGGGGGATTTCATCTTCTTGTAAACTGTTGGTTGTCTGCTGTAGACTTTAAACTGATCTTTTCAAATTGGAAAAGTAGGCAGGAACAAAGAGGAACTTGGCAAATAATAATGGCTCACATTTTTACAGCTATTTATGGTTTATAAAGTGGCTTTGTACCGTGATTTCGTTTGCCCTCTCAACAGCTCATTGAGGTCAATAAAAGGTCTCCCACAACAGAGATGAGCAAGCAAGTCTCGTTCACTTCATAGAGCAAGACCTCACACACAAGTTTCAGACTCAAATCCTGTTGCTGTTGTTGTTTTCAGTACACCACATTTCCTCTGAGTGCTCACGTATACACACCACAAACAGAAGCCATAGTTTTTGGAAGACAGCATTAATTTCAACTTGCCATTAAAGCAATGGAGGAAATATTCCCAGTCCAGGAAAGTGTGTGATACTCTTTTCCAGACTCTTCCTTGTTCCTCTGCCTTTGTACAGGCGTTCCCAATGCCAGGATGGTCTAAGTTAGAGGAGTTGCATAGTCAAAACTGAAAACAGAGACTTGGTCCATCTTGGGGAGGAGGGGCGTCTAAGAGGAATACTGGGCTTGGACTTCACATGATAAAAGGTCCTAAATGTAGACATTTGATACCGTCTGTAAATGTGTTATACCTGCTCCCACAGAGTTACACAAAACAGAATGGAAGAAGTTGACATTCTTCCTACAACTTTCAACTTAAGTCCCATTCCTGGACCACACTGCCCATAGCAATATTTTCCCTACATGCTGTAATTATTTTGGAACCGGTGCACTGACCTTGCACTAACTTTGTATGTTCAAAGGACTCCTTTCCACAATGCCTATCCCTCCGTTTTGGCATTTCTTCATCTGTTAATACACAAAGAATCTCAAAAATTGTAAGTATCCCAAGCCCCTGCCCACCTTTTAATCCTGTTTCCCCTTTTCTTCGCCGATCTTCTCTTTGGAGATCTTTATTATTACTATTTCACTCTTCTTTCGCACCATTTCCAGCATAGAGCCCTGTCCACTATCTAGAAGGTGCTCAGGAAGGACCTGGCGACCGGAGGAGATAAACCCAAAGCCAGGGAGTGGCAGCTGCTGGGAGAGGTTTTGATTGCACCGGGGAGGTGGGGGGGGGGGGGGGGGGGGGGGGGGGGGGGGGGGGGGGGACGCGTCCTAGCAGCGTCGGCAGCCTAAAGATGGCACGGGCGGAGAGGTGCGATAGTAAGCCCCCCTTCACCGGCGGCGTGCTAGCAGAGCGGGACACCGAGTGGTCCCGGCCGGGGCGGGACGCGCTGGCGCGGGAGAGTGTGAGCCCGACAGTGGGTCCCCCACCCCACCCCCAGCCCCACGGCCGCAGCGGGAGGGGCGCGGGGGCGTCGCAAGACAGGGCGTGGCGCTGGCGTGTGCGGGACCCGGGACACCCGCCGGCCGCCCAGGGGGCGAGGCGCGCTCCGGGGCTATTCCGGGAGCGGCGTGCAGGGGCGGGCGCGCGCGGGCGGGGGCGCCGGGCGGGCATCCTGTCTGGGGGAGGGGACGCGCGGAGGGCGCTCCCGCGGGGCCGGGCTGCAGAGCGCAGGGCTGGCCGCCGCCTGCCGGGCCGGAGCCGCTGCGCCCTGCTCCGCGCGCCCGGGGGCCGCCGGCGCCATGGACCGCGCCCGGGGTAAGAGGAGCCGCGGCGGCCGCACTTGTGCCGCGCGGGGCGGGGAGGGAGAACGGCGACCCGGGAGCCGGAGAGGAGGACGGGGAGGGAGCGGGGTGGGGGCTGACGAGGGGTCGGCGCGGGCTTGCGGCCGGGTGGGGGTTGGGGGGGTGAGGCCCGAGGCGGGGGGTACAGGTGTCTGTTGCTGCCGGGCCCTCCCGGGTGTAGATTAGTCCCTCGCGTCCCAGGGCTGAGTCGCCTCCCGTGTGTTTCATACACTCAGAGTCTTAACTTCATGAACTAATTAATGCCTCCCCCCGCCCCAAGGGTTCCTGAGGACAGCGAGCTCCTCCCACCCCAGTCCCCTTCGAAAGGGTAAAATAGGGCCGGCAGGTTACACCCCCAAATACGGGGCCGCGTGAAGCCCCACCGTGTGCCCTGCGGGACGCCGCGGGTGACCGGAGTTTGCAGCTGCCTAGGGCATTGAGAGAAGGAGGGGCAGGCGTGCGTGGGAGTGTGGGCGTGGGTGTCCGAGCCCGGGCTCTGTCTGTGACAAGCTGTGTGACCTTAGCCCAATCCCTCTACGTCTCTGGACGAGTGGCAAAGTTGGATTGATGGTCTCGGCGAGGCCCCTTCTTGCTCCCACGCTTTTTCAGGAGTAGGGTGTGTTTGGTAGAAGTTTCAGAGGTTGGTGAGGGCTTGTGTGAATTGACACAAGAAAAGAGCGGCGCTTGAGGGGGGGGGCGGGGGTTGCTGCTTAAGACAAGGCCAGAAGGCATGCGTCTGGAAAGAAGTGGCCTGCTTGGGCATGTGGGCAGTGCCCGCCCGAGGCTGGGAATCCGAACACTAGGGTCCTGAACGCTGCCTCTGCCAGCGGGAGAGATCACAGGTGTGAATGCGCTTGGTAAAGGGGCCGGTGCTGTGCTAACCTGAGAAGCCTTGTTATTCTCGTTGTTATTATTAATGGAAAATTCCTCTGCCTCCCTAGCACTCTCACGCCTTTCCTCCATCTGCCGGCTTGCTGTGCTGAAGCCCCCGAGGGGGCAGGGGAGAACAGTGACCAGGGGTGTGGAAGCAGTGAGGGCACTCTGAGCAGGGGATGAGCTGCAAGCTCTCCCAGACGGGGAAGAGCCAGGCTTAAGGAATTTCCAGCGCTGTAAGGGACCCGGCTTCCGGTTCAAGATGCTCAGGACAACCCCTCCACCCACCTGGTCCCAGCACAAAACACTACAGACACCTTCTCCTTAGGGCTTGGAAGGGCAGGCAGGAAATGGATGGTGCTTCCCTTTGGCTCTTGGGAAACTGAGGCTGTGATCTGTAAAGCAGTTCTCACCTGTTAACTGACTCCTGGACAAGTGTGCTAAGAGCATAAGCACTCAGCAGGAAGGAAAAACAGAGGGAAGAGGCACCTCTAATGTCCCTCTGTCCTCAGGTCCCACCTCCTGCATCGTAGATCTAAAGCAAAAGGCACCCCCCACACAGGAAACATTATCAAATATCACCACGCCTGGTCCCTGGTACAAAAATCCATATCCAGCCTACCCAGAATTGTGGGAACTGTATTGGGTCCTCATTAGACAAACCAAGGGTGACAGTGATTCGCTTAGCTTAAAATGCTTCGTAACTGACACTGCGCTTAAGAAGGCTGTTTCCAGGGCACTCTTCCTAGGGATCCGGACTTCCTTGGACTCTGTTAGTGCCCAGAATGTTCTAGAACTCTCCCCCATGCTGCAGGCGTTCCCAGCCTACTTTCCTTCTCCTTCCCAGCTCTTGTCTCTGTGCGCTGTCACTCTTTTTTTTTTTTTTAAATGTTTTATTTATTTCTAGGAGAGAGAGAGAGACAGCATGAGTAGGGGGAGGGTCAGAGAGAGAGGGAGTCACAGACCCTGTAACAGGCTCCAGGCTCTGAGCTGGCAGTCAGCACAGCGCCTGACGCGGGGCTCGAACCCACGAACCGCGAGATCATGACCCAAGCGAAAGTCGGACGCTTAACCGACTAAGCCACCCAGGCGCCCCGTGTGCGCTGTCACTCTTAAGAGTTAGTGTTTGGACTGTATGCTTCGTGTCTCCCTTCCCTGCCCAAATGTAAGCTTCCAGAAGGCTAGGAGTGGACCTGTGTGGTCAATCTGCTGACACAGTGCCTGGCACACAGTAGGAGCTCACTAAGAGTGGTTCTGTACATTAACTAGTAACACTCGGTAGTGCACCCCAATTTGATTAATTGTAGTGTTGATTTTTTTTTTTTTAATAATACGCATCAGAACAGTTCCTTGTGACTGGCAAAGACCTTCTGAAAATGTGAGTCAGGTGGCCAGGTGGCCAGGTGGCCAGGACACACAAGACCAAGTTATCTATCTAGACCCTAAGTTGTCTACCCTGGTAAATTATTGCAAACATCTTAGGAATTAAAGCCAACTGTATATGAATGAGAATGTGAAACCTGTATGCATTTTCAAGATAAAACATGAGACTTCAAAAATCATTCCCGCAGAACTTTCTTCTTATGCCCCTGTCCCCAAGGTGTGTGCACTCACTTCCATTGTCAGGGAAGGTGTAAGAAGCGTAGGTCTCATTTGGGCCCCATACCTACGATGGGGGGAGCGGAGTGTCATTATCAAGATACTGGGGAGGAAACTACACTTCAGTGTTAATAACAATAGTAACTGAGCCCCTCATCGGCGAGCAGGCTGATAGTAATGTGCTAGAGCCACTGTAACAAACTACCACAGACCACATGGCTTAAACAACCAATTTATTGTGGGAGATTAGAAGTCCAAGATCAAGGTGCCGTCCAGGCCACTTCCCAGTGCGGCCTTTCTTACAGGCTTGTAGATGTCCACCTTCTTGCTGTGTCCTTACATGGCTTCTCTGTGCACGCGTGGAGACAGAGCTCTCTGATGTCTCTTCTTGTTCTTATAGGACATCAGTTCCTACCAGATGAGAGCCCAACCCTGGTGACGTCATTTAACCTTAAATACCCCCATAAAGGTCCTGTCTCCAAATACAGTCACATTGGAGGGCTTCAGCCCATGTCGGATTAGGGCTTCAGCCCATGTATTTCAGGGGGGTACAGTCCAGTCCAGTCCAGAGCAGCAAGATTGGGTCACTGACGTTAACTTACAGTCATTTGCTGTGTGAGTGAGAGAGCTGGGTTTAAACCAAAGGCCTGATCTTTTTATTTTTAATTTTTTAAATGTTTTATTTATTTTTGAGAGAGAGAGAGAGTCAGAGACAGAGTATGAGCAGGGGAGGGGCAGAGAGAGAGGGAAACACCAAATCCAAAGCAGGCTCCGGGCTCCAAGCTATCTGCATAGAGCCCGCGGCAGGGCTCGAACTCGTTAACTGTGAGATCATGACCTGAGCCAAAGTCAGACGCTTAACCGACTGAGCCTCCCAGGTGCCCCATTGAACCAAAGGCTGATCTTAGGCTTACTGCTGACTACCTCCGCTGTGGCAGGTGACCTGCCCAAGCCTTGGACAGGTCATATCTTCCTGCCCCAGGTCCAGGAGCCCCTTCACACCTCAGCTGCGCTGTTCAGAGCTTCAGCAGCAGTTACTACATAAAAGCTCAGCACCAAAGCCAACCAACTCAGGAATGAAAACAAACCTGGGAAGTAGGATTTCTCTTCCAACAGGCTGTGTGTCTCCCCATGAGTAAAGCAAGATTTATATGACACCAGAACAGAATGAAAAACCACTTAGATTACAATGAAATCCCTTTCAGTAGGATTTCCCAACTCATGAATATCATACAAAGAGAATAATAGACTAATGGCCATAAATACCACCTTCTACAAGACAATTTAACCAACTGTCTTCATATGAGGATTAAAAAATAGGGATACTGACAATACCTCTTTCTTGGAGCTGTTGTATTAAATGCATGGGAGATACTTCAAACAATGCGTAGCATGTGGGACCCACTCTTTAAATACTACTGTGATTACAGTCTTTTTTCATCAGACTCCATATAACAAAATTGCTTTATAAAGCTTCACGTGGTCCTCCCACTAGCTGGTCTGACTCTGAGGGCAGCTTTTGAGCCCTTGCTCTGTTTTAAGGACTGAGCTAGACAGCTTCATGGACAACTCACAGGCAAGGTCTGTGTCATAATCTTCTCTGTATTCTGGAGCTCCTTTGTGGAGCATGTCTCTTGCAAATCCATCTCTGACCTTCAATAACCAGACCACGGGCCAACTGACATCTTTGAGTGACTGATAAAACACTAATACGTATGCCGACCTGTCCATTTTCTCTTATTTGTCCTTTGTATTCATGGCTACTGATTGGTTGTGTCTTCACAACTTTGCTTCTGCGAACTTTCCAGCCTTCTCAAGCCATCCTCTCCTCAAAACCTTGGGTCTAAATTTTTCCCGATTTTGTAATAGGCCTTCTTAATACCCGAGGTTAATGTCTGATCTGCCCACCTCGTGTGAAGTAACTGATTTCCCCAAGGTTCCTTTCCTTTCTACGTCACAACTCATGCTTTTGTAACTAGTTGAGTTCCACCCAAGGCACCCGTTCTAAATACTGCACCTCTGTTGGACCAGCTTTGAGACCCATGTTAGGAAAGCCACATCTTCCCTATCCTTCACTTCCAGGGGCCAAGCAACCTCTAGCTCCTCCCAGTGGCTCATCAACCAACCTCCATCACCAAGGCCATGAATTCCCATGTGGACATACCTCCTCCCCAACATCCACATTCATTCTCTCCTCCTTCTATCCATTCCTGGCCTTCTGAAAGAAATACTCAACCATCTCCATCTTCTCCATCCAAATACGTTTGTTGACATCACCCTTGTCAGCCTAGAGATTCAGGAAACCTGAATGGTTTGGAGAATGGATAAATGTGGGTTTGAGTTTTGACTGGAACTTTCTAGCTCTGTGATCTTGTATGAATTGGATCGACTAATTTCTTTGAACTCCAGTTTTATTTCCTTTGCCGTGTCATGGGGAAAGGTCATAGAGGAAGGCTAGCTCTTAGGAAATAGTCAGTAGTGCTGGCTATTGTATTTATCAAA